CTTGTTTGACTGATGATCCATCCAAAACTTTGAATGATCAATCCTTTGAGCCTTTCAGGCCAAACCCTAATCCACAGAAAACAAAATAAAACAATGTATTGATAATTGGTTAGCCATGCATGAACGATTGACCTAGAATGTTATGCAAATGATAATGAAGTTTATGGGTAAAATTTGGAGTATGATACACTTTGATGCCAAAATGAGGTTCATAGTGAATAAGAGAGAAAGTACAGAGTGAGAATGAGTTTAGAATACCTAACCCTCCTATGGAGGAAGGTATTTATAATGTGCCCCCAGCGCTGGGCCAAAGGTCATCTGATGTGGGCTGGATCGTAAGGCCCATAACAGATGACTGTCAGGATCCTACATGGAGGCAGAGAGGACCAGCATGTGGTATTCGTCCTAGGTTAACTACCCACAAACTCCGAGAAGTGGAAGACTTGTTCTTAAGGACATGGGTTCAGCTGGTGATGTGTTCCCGCACGAGGAGCACGTAGAGAACGTGTGGGGAATGTTACCTCCCGCGGTGATGGCGGATTAGGCTTTTATGTTGGGCCTTCCTCAAAACGAAGTTGGGTTTAGCCGTGCCCGACAATGGGCTAGTCCTAGGCCCAGTCCAGAATATTTTATTTGAAAAATGAGGCCTCAAAGAAAATTTAAGTGTGAGTGTGTTTTAGCCATACTACTTACGAAAATGGCCTTGTGTTTTTACAAAACATTGATCACCACTACTACAAAAAACACATATAATCACGGTTGTGAAAGACCTATAATAACCGGTGAACAACCGTTGTTAGGTAAAGTGTGATTACAAGTGGGGTCTTTACAATCACGGTCCAGTGCCCGTGGTAGAAAACTAAAAAGCGTGCTACCTATAATAACAGTTGTTTTAAATACCTGTTGTGAAAGGTCTGTCAGCATTTTTTATTTTTGCCACATGTTTTGCTTGACTACATTTATAACTTTCATCATAATATACAATATTAAATATTTTAACACAACAACATCAAGAATAACAAGATTAACAAGAATAATAAGAACAATAACAATAACAACAACAACAACAACAACAACAATAACAATAACAACAACAAGAACACCAAGAACAACAAAAACAACAACAAGAACAATAACAAGAACAACAAGAGAAATAACAGCAATGAGAACAAAAATAAGAATAACAATAATAGCAACAACAAAAACAACAAGAACAATTACAACAACAAAAACAACAACAAAAACGGCAAGAACAACAAGAACAAGAACAACAACAAGAACAAAAATAAGAATAACAACAAGAACAATAATAACAACAACAACAACAACAACAACAACAACAACAACAATAATAGCAAGAAGGACAAGAACAACAAGAATAATAACAAGAACAACAAGAACAATAACAAGAACAACAAGAACAATAACAACAACAATAGCAATAACAACAACAAAAACAAGAATAACAACAACAACAACAAGAGCAACAACAAGAACAACAAGAACAATAACAACAACAACAACAACAATAGAAACAACAACAAAAATAAGAATAACAACAACAATGACAACAACAACAACAACAACAACAAAAATAATACGAACAACAATAAATAAATAAATAGAATTGTTAAATAATAACATTTTACATTTAGAATCGTTAAACAGGAACAAACTGTAACATGTTAATGGAAGCAATGTTTCTGAGTTTTGTTTGTGGGAAAAAATGATGTTTTCAAGTTTGGTTTAGTCGATGAATAATGTTTCGTAAATGGAAGTTTGGAGGCAGAAGATGAAGTTTGTCTAAGTACGTCTAGGGCAAAAGTGAATGAACTAAAAGCGTTTTATATATATATATATATATATATATATATATATATATATATATATATATATATATATATATATATATATATATATATATATATATATATATATATATATATATATCTTTAAAAAAAAGGCGCCATCTATAACCACAGTTGATTTAAATACCCATGGTGAAAGGTTTGTCGGCATTTAAAAAAAATAAGTAAATAACCAAAAATGTTGGTGCTGGGATTTGAACTCATGACCATACGCCACTTTTTACCACGGGTATTAAATCAATCATGGTTGTAGGTGGTTAAATAAAATTTTAAAAAATGCATGCACCTAAATATCACATATTATAACGGTTGATTGAATATTTGTAGTAACACATGCGTTATTATATGTGTTTTTTGTAGTAGTGCACTATGAGATATTGGATCGAACTCTAGTATTGTCGACTCTAGTTTAGCATACCGTCAAAGTCTGCTCACATGGTGTTGTTGAAGACCTATATGTTGTAGTCGAAATGTGTTCTAGTATATTATTTAAGTTAGCTTGTAATGGATAATTGTTAAAAAGTCCATTAGTTTAGTATGTTAGGTTTTATTATAAATAACATACTAGTCTCTCGTCTTTTTTGTGGCAAATCCTAAATAGGGTGAGAGGGTTATTTGTTATTCTTGAGTACTTTAATTTGTTTAAAGAGAAAGTAAAGAATAGCAGTTATAACCAATCATTATTCTTCTTCTTCTTGTTTTTTCATTAACCCTAACCCTTGTGTGTTTTTTGATCATAAAGAAATTGTTTATACTTTGCTTCAAGATATCATTTTTCATAACAAGTTAGTGCGGTGAGCGTGGAGGAGATTCCTTCAATAAAGTATGAGATTGAAAAGTTCACCGGAGTGAACGACTTCGGTCTGTAGCGCTTGAAGATGAAAGCCCTATTGGTTCAGTAGAGTTTTTTTGGAAGCGTTGAAGGGAGAGGCAGTCATGGACACTGCGTTAACGAAAAAGAAAACATGGTCATGATAGAGAAAGCCCAAAGTGTAATATTGTTGAGCCTTGGTGATAAGGTTCTCTGACATGTATCAAAAGAGACTACGCCATTGGGGTTATGGTTGAAACTTGAAAGTTTATACATGACCAAATCTCTGGTGAATCGACTCTACCTGAAGCAAGCTTTGTATACATTCAAGATGAGTGAAGAAAAAGTGTTGGCTGAGCAGTTGGATATGTTCAACAAGCTGATTCTTGATCTTGAAAATACTGATGTGAAGATCGATGATGAAGATCAAAATCTGTTGTTGTTGTGTGCTTTGCCAAGATCACATGCTCACTTTAAAGAAACTCTCCTGTATGGAAGGGATTCCCTGAGCTTTGAAGAAATTCAATCAACCTTGTACTCTAAGTACTTAAATGAATGAAAGGAGCATAAACCTTAGATGGTTGGTTAAGGTTTGGCCGTTATGGGAAAATTCTTGCAAAAGGATGGAAAAAGTCAGTAGAAATCTTATAGTGGTGATGCATCGAGTATTCAATGATATCACTATAAGAAGGAGGGTCACACAAGAAAGGTGTGCCCTGAGCGCCTAAAAGAGCATGGAGGTAAGAATAATGGCAAAGCAGTCATTGTTCAAGATGACTTCGACTCATCTGATGTCCTTGTGGTTTCAAGCAACGACTCAAGAAAAGAGTGGATTATGGATTCAGATTGCACTTGGCACATGACTCCAAATAGAGAATAGTTCGAGGAGCTATGTGATCAAGATGGTGGATCAGTACTGCTGAGAAATAATAAAACTTGCAAAATTATAGGTATTTGATCTGTGAGAACATTTTATCACTCAAATTCTCTCTCTTCAACTTTCTATCAACCAAAATCCATTTACCCTTTACTATGAACATCAAGAAGTTCTTCTTACATTCAGTTCACAAATTCAAAATCAATCACGCATACCAACACAAAATCAAGAACACTCTATCATCTCATCTTCATTACTTAAAAGAGAAGATATACATTGATTAAAGAGTAAAAAAGAATGATTTGAATTAAAAAAAGTGAAAGAAAATAGGTAAGATAGAAGTGACAAAAGAGAAAATTTAAGATACATTTATGAATCAGAGAGTCAATAGAATGTAGGGTGAGGGAAAAATTGAATTTTTCACAACCATTACTTCTCTTATATTATAGATTACTATAGAGTTTACTGTAAAAAGTATTTTTTATTATTATTTTGATTTATAAAATTTTTTGAATTATGTTGCAAAAATGTATTAGTTTTATTATTATTTTATTTTATCTTTTGGGATCAAATTTATCAATAAAATAGAGTTATTTACTTAATTAAATAGGTTAAATATTCCTTTTAAAAGGTCTTAAAACAAAATAGATTTTTTTTAATAAATTAATAGGCAGAACCTTTTTCTAAAAAGTTCATACTATATTATAAAATTAAATAAAAAGTTTTTTATATAATTGATCATATGCAAACTCAAATTTTATTTCTTTTAAATAGATTTGGCCTATTTAATTCTGTCTAGGTTAGATTTGCAATCTATAGATGGTTTCAAGCATGAGTAAAAGGACATAATTGTGTTAGATCGTCGACGCTGATATAAAATTTTGTTGAATCTCTGATATAAATCAATTTCGAATTAATATAAATATTAACTCGTTATGACAAAAGTTGATCCATGTAACCAACTTCATTTAATGAGATAATACTTGATTATTCTCATGTAATGAGATAATGTTTGATTGTTGTTATATATCAGATCTATTGAAGTAAAGATTTGTTTGACCTGACATATTCTAACTCTTGCGGGTGACTATGAGATTAAATTTTTGAAGCCGTATACCCATGTACTTTGAAAATATGAAAAGTAGCTTTAAAAAAAAAGAAATTTTTTTTCAAAAAAATCAATCTCTAAACGAAAGAAAAGGCTCAATAAAAAAGGAATAACGGGTGCAGAAAACAACTCATTCCAATTCTTACAAAAAGCCAGGTCCAAAAGTTCCCAAATTAAATCCAAACCAAGTTACTTTTTTTGGACGAGTATAATATTCCAAATTGTCTATTGGCTAGCCCCGTGACAGGATAATGATATAATGAAAAAGGAATGAGAAAAATATAACCACACAACACATTATCTTCATCACCATATTTCATTCTACCAAGAAGAGAGATGGGAACCACCTCCCTCTCTTCAAACTCACCTTCTCTCATCAATATCATTCTCACTAGACGTTCAATTTCACTACCATCAACCAGATACAATAATTTCCTCACACTTCAACCTCGCACTTCCCTCACTTTTCATTCCATCACCTGCAGCAGCAGCAACAGCAACGCCGCCAATACAGACCAGAATGAAGCAGACTCAATTCAAGCACCAACTACAGCACCGGCTAAACCGATTGAGCTAAGGCTCAGGAGAAGATCAAGAAGACAAGTGAAACGGCCAAGGGGGAAAGGAACTGTTACAGATAGCATAGAGCAACCCAGAATGGCAGAGGCTGTTCCTAAGAAATGGGAGGAAATGAGTTTGAGAGAGAAGGCGATGGAGCTTTACGTGGGAGAGAAAGGTGCTCTGTTTTGGCTTAATAAATTTGCATATGCTTCGATCTATATCATGATTGGAGCTTGGATAGTGTTTAGGTTTGTGGGTCCTGCACTTAATCTGTATCAGTTGGATTCACCTGTACTGTCACCTAGTGATGTATTGAAGGGATAACAAGTTTCAACTTCTGTTTGTATTGTAATTTTTACATATGTACAATGATAAACTTATTCAAGATCACAAAAATCTATCATTTTTGTTAAATGAGTTGTAATGATAAAGTCTTTTATATTTCTTTGTTCAATAGATTAGTTGATATTTTAGCAATGTATCAACATGGATACCCAGTGTGAAGAGACCTTCAAACCTTTACACAGTGGTCTCAAACCGCAATTGCATTTGCAGACCACGATTTAAAACTCTGGCTGTGAATAACAAGTTGTTGGTAGTATTGCAAACTTTATGGCAACTCTCCAGGTTATTGTTATCGACAAATTACATCAAAACTTGCTGAACGCCGATGATTAATTTTGGTCACATGAATTGAGGGTCGTGAAGTGAAGATACTAGTGAACCAAAAGGTTGTAACAATATAAGTGAAATTTCAGAAGGATATTGACAAGAGCTAACTATGAACAGAATAATCACAACTTTCCAAAATCATCTATATTGCATAGTATTTATAATAGATTTATAATAAGCATACAGTTTTCAGAAACTGAAAAAATACACTGCCGCTAAGCACAGACCATTTATGTCTTTAGTGAATATAATGAGCCTGTCGTGAATATCAACATTTTGCTGGCAAAGTACATGCTATAAATTCAAAACAAAACTAGGGCAAGCAACAAAAACACAACCGATGAATTCAACATTACACAACATTGACAGGTTGCATGGGCGCCGCTCTGAGTGTTTTACACCTGCAAATGATGAAACATTGCTCAGTAATAGTGTGAGTGCAGATGTAAACATACTTGATATATTCATAATGACTAGCATAATTTTTCCTTCAATTGGAGGGCATTCAATTCTGCACTGCTAAATAAATAGACTACATGAGAGAGAGAATCACCTGTTACATTCTAGTCTGGAAGCATAATTATGATTGTTGCAATTTGTGCACATCCAATCACCACTTCGCCATTGCTTAGCTCTAATAAATCAACAAATAGATAAAAGCATTTAAATAGTGAGCCTATGAAATATAATAGCATCAACGAGACCTATAAGATAATAAATTTCTCTCCCTCTGTGTATGTGTGAGCACGCATCAAGCTCAATGGACAAGAATTAGTTACCCTTTTCCAAGGAGTGCAGTAGAGGAAAATTGAGGTGGAATTGGAAAGAGCGGGGGCATTGGAAAGCTTGGTGCCGAACTAGAGTTAATGCTCGCGTACGCAGGAGCAAGTGCCAATTTTGGTTCTGCACTGGTCCCTACTACTTGCTCTACACTTGAATATGTTCTCTGCTGGTCATTTGTCTGTAAGAAAAGAAAGATTGTATTATTAAGAGAAGGAGGATATTATTAAGAGAGAAAAAGAGTGTGTAAAACCACAAAAATGATCGGTGAATCAGAAAGTAACAAAAGAAACAAAATCCTTACAGGTCCTACATTCAATCTCTTGTTATCCCAGTCATAAACCAATTCTTCAGAGGCTAACCGTTTTGTGCCAGGCGCTTTACACAAAAAGAAGAAGTGGAAATAATATGAAGTTTAACATCAATTGACACCAAAAAAAGAGGAAAAATCTCAATACTAAAGACCACAGAAAGATTGGGGGATTATCAATAGGACAACAGAGCAACCATAAGAGGGTATACTTAGAGCATATAACTGTAAAAAAAAGTTATTTACAACAGTATCTATTCGTAGAAGATAAAGCTTATGAAATTTGAACTTGCAATCTTCACTATGGAAGGAAGCCATACCTGGTGGAGAAGCATTGCATTTTTTACACTGCAGATTATTTCAACGTTGAATCAGAAAAATAATATACTTCATTACTTGTGCATTTCAACATCATTTTAGATATAAAAATTCAAGACCATACCTGTGAGCGAGAGGAGTAATTATGGAAGCCACAGTTACAGACCCAGTCCCCATTGCGCCATTCTTTTAGAACAGATGGGTTCTTACTATTAGAATTTACATAAGGATGCCCAGAACTATAACTTGTACCTGGAAGCCATAGTGGAATGGGCTGGAGACCAAACTTTTCTGCTCCAGCAACAGGCCAATTAGTATTCAAATTCAGCGACTGTGGTGGCCCACCGTTTCCAATCAATCCAATATTCATGTTGTGTTCCAGTCCTCCCGGAGCCCTAGAAAAGTAGGGTGGATATGTAGGGAAGGATGCTCTAGTCATTGCAATTGCTGGCATGGCCGCTACCTCCTTTGGTTGTCCGCACTTCTTGCACTTCTCTCTTGATGCATAATTGTTGTTAGTGCAACCTATTGTTCCATTGCATACAAACACATTCCCACAAAGCAGCCACAGGGAAAGGAACCCACACCAACACGTTGCACGCACACCAAATACACATACAAAACACACAAACATCTCAACCTAGTTCATACCAAGGTCTTTATACCAATTTGAAATGGAAGCACCATTATCCACAACAATCAATTCAAATATATATATAATCTATCAAACAACTACTGAATCTCATTACTCAAAATCCTCACATGAAATTGAACTATCCAAACACATAAAAAAACCAATGCAAAAATTCGATACCTACAACAACAAAAACTATCATTGGAAAAAGGTGAAGAGAGAAAGTGGAAACTAACCGGAGCAGATCCAATCGCCGATACGAGGGAGCCATTTGGAATCAGCAGGGGTTTTGTTATCAACAAGAAGACGTGGTTGTTTGCATCGATTGCAGAATGATCGGAAAGCGTAGTTTCGGTTGTTGCAACTGCTACACTCCCAATCACCTTCTCTACCTTCTCCCATTCTTCTTCTTCTTCTCAACGATTAATTGATATTTTCACTGTATTTTTGTTTCTTCTGAGAACGAAAAACCAGAGGAAAGGGATTTTGGTTTTGGAGAACAAACAACAGAAATCAAAATTGAGAATTTTGGTATATATGAAAAATATAATAATTTACCATTATTTTCGTTTTGCAAATAGTTGGGCCTAACAAGAAATAGGCCTTTCTAATACTTGCTTTTTGCAGCTCCATTGTTTCCTACAATGTTACTTTCAAACATTATTCAAAAGTCTATTTTATATTTTCTCAAATTCTCACAAAGTACAAGATGTTGGATGAATTGGGTGTTCCTAAATCTGATGTTTATCTGCTTCATTTAATTTACATAGTTATGAATCAAATGAATAAAGTGTGCATGTTAATTCATGGTTGTGAGATGACTCAAATTTTTTAACTTTCTAAATCTTATGAACGCAATCATAGGCTACTTGAAGTCTCGCAAGACAACCTGTTTGTATAGTTGGATGATATTTATCTTCTTTCTTTTTCTTTTTTTACTATTTCCTTATTTATTGTAAAGTAATTGATAAATAACAATTTTTCTTTCATAATCACGTGTAATATCATCTTTTTTTACCGCAAATCCATGGAAATGCACATATGGACTACAATCAACTGTGGTTTAGTTTGTGAAAAACGGGTTAATCGTGATTCTGATAGGGGTGCATATATAAGCCCTTTAATTAATTAAGTGATCAATTTTATCTAATGGCTGAGTATCTGAAACCTGATTGGTGTGGGTAAAAGTGTGGGCTTTAACCTTGGGCCCATAATGGGTAGGGACTAGGGTTATATATTATGTGGCTAGGTCCCCTCTGTAATCACAAAAAAGAATCAGAAACATAACTGACGGCTCCATAACTTGCCCCATTGAAAGTTGTGAACGGGAGTGTGAGATACAAAGGAAGATCCGGTCATTCATCCATTCGGAATTCTGAATCATGACTTCAACAAGTAAGTATTGATGTTTTAATCTCATATAATATCCATGAATATTTCCGCTTACATTTGGTATCAGAGCCTAGATTATGAGTTAAAACTCAATTATTTATTATTATTTTTGTGAATACGAATTGATGGTATTATTTTTTTTATTGTCGTAATAAATTTTACCATTGCGGAACTGCTCCATAAATAATATGAAAATTGGAATTGATATTTTGTGATTACTAAATCTATGAAGTATATATGGAATCGAAAATCTTTTATGTATTTATTTTAATTGGAATTGTTGCATACTTCTTCAAAATTCATATGGTGAAAGTAATAGTGTTCTGATAGTACGTTATTTTTCAATTGTCCTTTATTTTGGATCAATTAAAACAATATATATGATTCTTTGGTTACTGAAATGCAAAATACGTGAATGCCGTCAATAGTGTCGGTAATTTTGTTTATCTGGTGTTTCTTTTGCAAATTAATAGAACAATTCCGGTATTTGTGCTTAATTTGTTTTCCCTTTCCAAGTTAATAGCCACTTCTAAATTCTTTTGTTCAATTTTTTCACGCCAATACAGTATCATATAAAATTATATATTATTAATTGAATTATATATAATTAACTAGATTAATTATTTTCAAGACAATATGTACTATATATTTTTAAATTTTTATTGTATTGTCTTGGACATTTTATTAAATAAATGTTAGTTTATATAAATTTGTAATATATTTGTTTTGTCAAGTATTTTGAAATATTATATAATATCTCTATAATATTGAGATTGATACTGTTGAAGACAAAATTTATTAGGAATGTTATATGGTTTAAATTCATGATTGGTTCATGATTTATTTTGGCAAGAATTTTTTTTTAATTCCTATGCAAGAAACTCTATAAATGATTGTGTGTGATTACCACCAAAGTGAGATCGCTCGTTTTAATTTATAAAAGTCTCTTTGTAGTTTGAGGAATGGTTTTAAGTCATTACTGTGATTGTCTTCCCAAAGGTGGATAATTGTATGTAAAGATTGTGGTTGATTAAGGATATAACTATTGGAGATGCTTTGGTCTAAGGGATTTATTTACCCAAAGGAAATAAATTTCTAAACTCAATGTATGCTCATTGAGTAGCTTATTCTTGAAATTTGTAGATGAAGTTGTTGGAGGTGTTTTGGTTTAGAGAATTTATCTACCCAAAGGAGATAGATTTTTGAACCCAATTTATGCTCATTGAGCGACTCATCTGAGGTTCTGACCTTGGTTCTAACCTGGGTTTTACGCATTCCACCCAAAGGGGATTGTGTGATAATGTTGGCCTCTTAGTGATAGCTTATGTTCATTAAAGCTATATCTTGCCTTTATTATTTGTTCTAATGCATTCCTATTTTGTCTAATCAGTGACCTTCTCTATGAACAATTGTTCTGCTTCTATTGAGATCCTGAATGGGTCTAATTTTAAAAAATGGAAGAAAGACTTAGAGTTTTCGTTAGGGATTGCTGACCTTGACATGGCATTGCGTGAAACCAAACCTGTGATCAATGATCAGAGTACACCTGAAGAGAAAGAAAAATTAGCTAAGTGGGAGAGGAGTGATCGACTTAGCTTGTGTGCTATGAAGAGAACAATTTCTGAACATCTGATAAGTGGGTTGCCTGAAAAAGAGAATGCTAAAGAGTATCTTACTGCTATTGGAGAGAGATTTCAGGTATCTAATAATGTTGAATCTAGATGTTTAATGAAACAACTCACGGACATGAAATATGATAACAATGGGGGTGTCAGAGAGTTCATTCTTAAGATGGTTCATGTCCAAACCAAACTAAAATCCCATGACATTGACCTGAATGAGAATTTTATTGTGTCTCATGCCTTAAATTGCCTACCTGTTGAGTTCACTCAAATCAAAACTGCTTATAATACATTTGGTGATAAGTGGACTATCAATAACCTCATTACCAAGTGTGTAGCTGAAAGGAGAAACCGCACCCTTAAAGATATGATGAGAAGCATGATGAGTAGGAGTAATTTACCGGAATTTTTATGGGGTGACGCTTTGAAAACAGCCCTCTATATACTTAATAGAGTTCCTAGTAAATCAGTTCCAAAAACACCTTTTGAGCTTTGGACAGGTAGAAAACCCAGTTTGAATCATCTCCGTGTCTGGGGTTGTCCTGCAGAGGTTAAAATATATAATCCTTTTGAGACAAAGCTTGACCCAAAAACAAGTCGTTGTTTTTTTATTGGATATCCGGATCGATCTAAAGGATATAAATTCTTTTGTCATGGTAGAGGAAATAAAATTGTGGAGTCCATGCATGCAAAATTCCTTGAGCTTGATGTTGCTGAGCTTGTCACCGAATCTGATAATATTAATTGTGTTATGCCTGATGTTGTTACTTTGTCACTTCCTAATTTTGATAATGCTAGATCATCCACGACTCCTGGAGGTTTTGCTCCAAATGAGAATGTGGCTGAACATCCAGTTGAAGATGTGGTTGAACTACTTGTTGAAAATGTAGTGGATCCTCCTATTATAACTGAGGTTGAACAACCTAATGAGCCAGTTGAGCAAATTCATGTTAGAAGGTCAGTAAGACAAAAGCGACCTGCTATCCTTGATGATTTTGTAGTTTATCTTAGTGAGGATGCTTATGATGTTGGTATTGTTATTGATCCTAAAAATTATCTAGAAGCTATTACTTGTTCTCAATCTAGCATGTGGACAGATGCAATGCATGATGAAATGAAATCCATGATAAATAATGATGTTTGGGAACTAGTGGAGTTACCAAGAAACTATAGAGCGATTGGATGCAGGTGGATATTCAAAACAAAGAAGGACTCGAAAGGTAAAATTGAGAGATTTAAGGCAAGCCTTGTGGCTAAAGGTTTCACACAAAAGGAGGGTATTAATTTTAATGAAACCTTTTCTCCTGTTTCCACTAAAGACTCTTTTAGAATCGTTATGGCCCTTGTGGCACATTTTGACTTAGAATTGCATCAGATGGATGTTAAGATTGCTTTTCTGAATGGTGATCTTAATGAGGAGGTGTACATGCAGCAACCAGAGGGTTTTGTAAAAGGTGGTGATGAGCACTTGGTTTGTAAATTAAGAAAATCTATTTATGGTTTGAAACAGGCTTCTAGACAATGGTACTTGAAATTTGATGAGGTGGTAACTTCATTGGGTTTTGAAGAAAATAAAGTTGATCAGTGCATCTATCTTAAGGTCAGTGGGAGCAAATTCATCTTTCTTGTGTTATATGTTGATGATATTTTGCTCGCAAGTAGTGATCTTGGTCTACTTCATGACACCATTATGCTAACCAAGTTCTTTGATATGAAGGACCTTGGTGAAGCATCTTTTGTATTGGAAATTGAAATACACAGAGATAGATCACGTGGTGTGCTTGGCTTGTCACAGAGAGCTTATATTGATAGAGTTCTAGAGAGATTTAATATGCAGAACTGTAAGCCAGGAGATGTTCCAATTACTAAAGGAGACAAATTCAGTAAAGATCAATGTCCTAAAAATGAGATTGAGCGGGCAGAGATGAAGGGAAAACCCTTTGACAGTGCATTGGGCAGCCTGATGTATGCTCAAGTATGCACTAGGCCTGACATTGCTTTCATAGTTGGCGTCTTGGGACGATACCAGTCTAATCCTGGGAATGATCATTGGATTGCGGCTAAGAAAGTGATGAGATATTTGCAAAGAACTAAAGATTGTATGCTTGTTTTTAGGAGAGTTGACAACTTGGAAATAGTTGGGTATACTGACTCTGATCTTGCTGGGTGTGTTGATGATAGAAAATCTACTTCTGGTTACATTTTTATGTTGGCTGGAGGCGCGATATCATGGAAGAGTAAAAAGCAAACTCTTGTCGCCTCTTCTACTATGCAGGCAGAGTTTGTTGCTTGTTATGCTGTTGCCACTCATGCTGTTTGGTTAAGAAATTTAGTAACTGGACTTCGTATTATTGATTCCATTGCAAAGCCACTAAAGCTTTACTGTGA